CTGAATTCTATTTGGCTAACTGGAAATGCATAATGAGGCACTACAAAGGAACAGTCATTTCTAATGTTGTTCCATCCACCTGTGGCTTTTCACAGTCCAAATGTCTGCTGTGAGAAAGGCCTCTGGACAATCAATGCTTTGAACTGAGATGACTTTATTTTTAACAGCTTCTGTGTTCTGGCAAACCCAATGAAAAGGTATTCAATGCCTTTGGTAAAATGCATGTCTGATTATCCTGCAAGCTTCCCATTTTTAAAACCATGTTGGTAGATTCCCAAAACAAAAGTCATGATGATCACTTGATCTTTCTTTAAATTTGTGCATTCTTTATTCCAAAGGCTAACTGCAAAAAAGGAAGCAATGAACTTCCAAAGTAGTCGGCGGCGAGGAGAGGATGGTGTCTCCATGGTAATTGACTTCTTGCTGTCCAATGCCCGGCTGGTTCTGGGAGTTGGAGGAGCTGCTATGTTAGGAATTGCAACTCTGGTAGTGAAACGGGTACGTGTTTTTCAAGCTGTGAAGTTGTACTTGTGAATATGAAAATTCATTTGTATTTGGAGACATGAGTTATTGCAAAAATTCAGATTTCTTATTTATATGTATTTCATTTTTATAGAATATCTACATTATTACTGATGTTTTTCTTTGATGCACTGTACCTACAGTTAGGAGAAATATATTTATTCACAGCCTCCACCCAGCTACACTAACAGTGGTGGAAGAAGTACTCAGATCACTTAAGTAAAAGTAGCAATACCACAGTGTAAAAATACTGTTACAAGTAAAAGTCCTGCATTCAGAATGTTACTTTAGTAAAAGTGCAAAGATTTAGCATCAAAATATACTTCTAGCACTAAAAATACTCATGTAGAATTGCACATTTAACATTGATGTACATCATATTATTTTATTATAATTACTGATGTTTGAATCCAGGTTGCATCAGGAAGGGCATCCGGTGTAAAACATGTGCCAAATGTCAACATGCGAGTCGTCAGTGTGATGATTCGCTGTGGCGACCCCTAAACGGGAAAAGCCGAAAGTGACTTTCTGTTGTGTTCATCACATTAAATGTAGTCTAGTGGTGAAAAGGAACTAGTAACTAAAGTAGTGGAGTAAAAAGTACAATATTTGCTTCTAAAGTGTAGTGAAGTCAAAGTAGCACAAAATGAAAATACTCAAGTAAAGTACAGATATTTCAAAATTGTACTTAAGTAAATGCACTTGGGTCCAATTCCAGCCAAAATGTCAAGTCTCATTTTCACTTGCATTTCAGTGTTTTTGTTCATCATTTGTGATTTAAAAACCTCGGCTTTCTATACTGAATCAACGCAATAAAAAGCCTGCATCCTGGTTATACGCTAGTAATGAAATTGTAGCACTTCACAGAGCGTTTCTCCTGTGCACAGCAGGACATGGTGCCACCTTCTGGTTCAAAAGAGGTTAAGCTGACTTCGCTAGCATTCAAGTCGAGAGCATCAGAGGACAACAGGCAAATAATGAATTGTATTTGTCTGTCTGTCAATCGCTTGTGGTTAATGGATTAAATAAAACATGCATAAACTCCTCAGGATGGTCCTTTTTACTGTATATTTGGCTAGCGCATTATCAGACATGACTGCACGTGTGTAACAGCAAGTGTTTGTGTTTAGTTGATAGAGCGTGCGGGCCGTGCAACCGATGATGAAAAGGTGGAGCAGAAGATGGCTGAGAGCTGGGAGGAGTTGACTTTGGTCTCTGCTTCCCCCACACTGATCAGGAAGGGCATAGAGGGCGTGGTGATGAAACACGTTGCCAAAACAGCCAAACAGCAGAAAGGTATCGATGACATCTCAGCACCTAAAAGGGACAAACGATACACAAATATCACAGTTGCATAGAATTTATAAGGCATATATTCTAATCATGATTGTAGCCCCCTGATGTTGACAGCTGGTTTAACCTCTTTCTCAATTAGCTGAACTGTGCCAACAACCTCAGATGTCCTCTCTGGAGGAGCAGCCAAAGCCTGGGGCACAGTCCAAGAGGCTCCAGCTGTGCGTCCGCAGTTTACAGGTACACGCTGACATTTCACCTCTGAGCTCTTTTCAGCTACTGTAACATCTCTGCTCAGTGTGGCTCATTCAGCTATACGTATGTAACACGTTTTGTAAAGTGCAGTGCTTAGGGGATATACATTGTTATGCACTGGTTAGGCAGCACAGAGACCTAAGCGGCCTGCATAATCAAAAGACAGTGTGAGCTTGTGCACTGGTTGCAAAGAAAAAGTCAAACAAGCATGAAACAGCTTTGAGTTATTGTGCAGAACATCTACATAAGCAGAAAGGCTGTGGATTGCCCAGTAAATAGTAGCTCTAAATGCATGACTGGACTGTAGAGGGGATTTGAAACTAGGGGGGTTAAAGAAAACTTGGGCAAATTGTATCTTTTATGAACATGTGCACATCTTAATTTTTTATTCGGCATTGCTGGAACGCTGCTTTCACAGTGAACACTGGGTAGTGTAGCCGGTTAATGTCTGGGATTGGCTGAACAACGACAGTAGAATGAATGGTGTATGTACTTTTGGCAGACATGGAAGAAGTACTCAGATAGTTTACTTACTTAGTAAAAATAGAAGTAACACAGAGTAAAAAGATTCTGTTACTAGTAAAAGTCCTGTATGAAAGTATTAAGAAAAAATACTGATTCATTCACATTATGAAGGATTTCACATTAGTGTATATCATATTATTGGACGATGCATATTGAAGCATTACTGTGTACATCACATTTCATGTTGCGACTGGTAAAGGTGGAGCTAATATTAACTATTGTATATATGTCTAATATGAATTACTCTATATACTGCTGGCTAGCTTGTGAATTTCCCACCAGGAATCAGTGAAGTCTTGTGAATACACTGTATTTTGTTTGATTAATCTGATTTTGACAAGTACCTAAATTTATCAAATAAATGAAAATAAGTATGAAGTACCAGAAAATGACAATAAGTAAAGTACAGATACCTCAAAATTGCCCTTGGGTATTGTTCTTGAATTGATGTACTTAGTTACTTTCCGCCTCTGCTTTTGGCAGAGTCCATTGTTTCAGATGCTTCTTGGGCACAGTCGTTTTGGCTTGGGGAGCACTTTAATGCTCCATGAAACTGTTTATAGTCATTTTAGTGTCAGTTGTATGGTTGGTTAGTTGCTGTTGTACATTCTTCTTTATCAGCAGTAACAGGATAAACCCAGCATTGTTCCGCCGCTGTTTCCTCCCTAAAGCAACTGAACAGGCAAAACATTCTGTAACTCAAGTCTGCTTAGAGACACAAAGTGACTTTGAACATTTTATGACTCAAGGGGCAACTGTGTGTACTCCCAGTAGAAGTATCAAAGCCTTAAAACAACAGTTGTTGGGCCTCTCTGAATGTACACACATGGATATTGTAAGTACCCGTCTACCAGAACAGTGACTGACCTCTTGTGTGAAAACTTTCCATGCTCTGTAACTGGAAAACTGTATAAACTGTGCAGGAGCATCTGCAGCAGTACTATCACACGAGGGCAGCACTAGCTCCACATGAGATCCAGAGGGTTCAGTCTGTGGCACTGGACATCTGCACTGAGATCCAGGGTTTCCTGCACAGCCGTCACCCTGACATGCCAGTGGGAGAAATGAGCCTCGGAGGTTCTCTGCTAGATGACCTGCAGGTATACAGACACACACACACACACACACTGGCTGATGAAACATTTTTAGACAACACTGTTTTGCATCTCAGTGATGTTGTGTAAGAAGACGTGAGGTGAATGACACTTGGGCTTACTTTTCTGTGTTTGTGTGTGATTAGGTGGTCAGTGCGGATCATGCATGTCTGCTGGTGCCTTTGCAGCTGGAAGCTTCTCTGTGGCGTCTCATCCCAGGAGAAGAAACGTTGCTCATACATCCGTTGCACTGGATGGTTCGAAGAGTCAATCTGGAATATTATCCCAGAGGATGGAGCTACTGGGACAGGTGATCTTGCACAGACAAGAAACGTTCAGAAAGGCAGCCTGCACTTTTAGAGGCTTGTGTCTGTACATTTATATTAAATGAGTTGGTATGTTTTAGCAGATTATTACTTCTAATTATAGTAGTAACCGGTTTTACTACAAATAATGCCAGATGTTTAAATCTGTAAATAACAGCTAAAAGTAGGGCTGTCTGCTGCAAATGATTATTTTCATTACTAATTCATCTGTTTTTGTTTTTTTATTATTATTCTTTTATTCCATGAAACATTAAAACCTAGACAACGCTCAGAGAGCACAAACCTCTTCTAAGGCAGTTTACTGTCCCCATAATACCATTATACCTAAAACCAGTATTCCCATGATAATCTGATTCCTTGACCATGGAAACCTACCCTTAGCATTTGGAATCACACTGATATCATTAAGAGTCTGAAGGTTACACCAGAAAAACAATATTTTAGTAATGGCACTTTTCTTTGGGATGTAGCTCAATAATCTTTGAAGATGAATCAAATCTGCTGACACCTATCGTATCATCAGATTTTCATCTTGAATTTAATCTTAGTTGCAAGTCTATGGCGGTGGTGAAGAATCCTTTTAAAAAAAAATGCCTGGGTCTGGACATTCACAGACCTGATGCTTAGTCAGTTCTTTTCTACATTATAAGAGATGACAGTGAGGAAACCCACAGAGATTTCCTCCCACTCTGCAGATCTATGGAGTTGTTTAGCCTCTATTAGCTCAGTGTGTGGCCCACTGGTATAATTTTACATCATCATCAAGCCACAGAACTCAGTGTAAGCATAAAGGACGATACTAACAATGCAAGCCTTTTATATCAGCTTTGTGCATTATATTGAAGCATTTATAGAGTTTGGTTAAAGGTATAAATACAAACATTATATAGCCATTGTCTGTGACAGCAGTCTCCCCTGTCATTCAGGTACATGGTTGGTGGTTACTTGTCTGCAGAAGCTATTGTGGACATGTTTAGGAAAACTGTCATGGAAAAAATGAACTGGCCAACAATCATCAGCAGTCTGGACTGTCTCATCAGGCCTGTAGTGGGAGGACTAGACCTGAGACTGGAGATCTGGTGTGTGTCTGTTTTTTTTTTTCCTCCCATTCAGTTTCCATGAATTAACAGCATAGCCGTTTTTGCTTTTTGCACAATTAATCTGATGACCTGATTTTTAGACAACAGTTATAACATTAGTTCACTCCTACATCTGTGGTAAAATAATGGTAAGTCAGGATGTGCATGTGATTAAAAACAATATCATGATCTTAATAAGAATATTTTTCTACTAGTGACCCATCCATTGGCAAGTGTATGCAAAAATCACATGGTAAATAATTGTTTCAGTGTAACGTCAGAGCAACTCTTCACATATGAAAAAAACTATTTTATTTGAACCTATTCCATTAATCCCACTGATCATGTTATCATGATATGATTCTGTTGAATATCCAGAAACAGTTGGGCTTTGTTCAGCCTAAGTTGAAAATCAATATGATCTCTGTGTAAACTTGATGCACCTGCCATCTCTAATGGGCCTTTCTCCCATTATGATTCTTTAGGCCTGGAAATGAAAGAGGAGGAGCAGACAGCAGTGATCAGCCCTTCTTCATCTCCATGTTGCCCCTACTGAGGGAGGAGGACGTGGCACTGACCGCCCAGCCTGAGCTCACCTCCCCCTGGGTCAACGCTTGGCACCTGTCGCTCTACCCGTGGGAGACCCAGCGCCTGGCTCAGCTTGACGCAGCTGACGACGGATACCGCAGACACACGCTTAAAATCCTGAAGGCAGTTTGCAGACTGAACCCCACCCTGCGACCGCTCAAAGCCGCGCCACTGGCTAATCTCATCCTGCACCTCAGTGACAGTGAGAGCGACTGGTCTGAGACCAGCCTGGATGTTAGATTCCAACAGTGTATCACAGAGCTGATTGGCTACCTCGAACAAGGGGCGTTGCACAGTTACTTCAAACCAGCTGTCAATCTGCTAAGTGACTTGTCAGAGGACCAGGTGGACCAGATGGGCTTCATGCTCTACTGTGCTGTGTCAGAGCCTGAAATACTGCTCATATAGCTCTCTGCACGCGCACACACACACACACACACACACACACACACACACACTTGAGATTTATCATGCTTTGATCCACACAGGTTATTGGACTATTCTTTTATCATCCATGATGTAATGAAGATGTATTTTCCTAATTCCTCTGTCCTGCTGTGTTACAAGGGAACAGGTACATATTTAGTGACAAAATAGTGGCATCATACACCGGAGGAGGAGGAGGAGGAGGAGCTACAAAGTGGCTGCAGATGTAAAAGTTATCATCAAGATAAAGAAATCACTCGGAGGAAAGGAGACATACTAGGAGCTGAGGAAGTGTTTATCAAAGATGTGCCTCGTCATAACTCCCCTCACACACAACACAGCTAAGTCAGCTTTTTTTTTAGCTTGTGTGATTATTATTTTTCACAGGGAGTCAGTGATGGTCTACAAGGCCACATACAGTTCAGTATATCCATTAACAGCAGAGGATGAGTACAGTTCATTTTTTAAATTATCCTCTGATAGCATGTGTTCTTCTTCTTGTACCCCTAACTGTATTACAACTATGCAGAAAAAACCAACCTGCTGAAAACCACCAGGTTTTACTGCACTTATGGATCCATTCAGTGTCTGAGTTGGGTGGATTTAACTCACTGTGCATATTTTATCATACTGGAGGTTGAAGTGTGCAGTATTTTTATTTGTCCTTTTCAGTCTTCAGTCTGTTGCCATATTACTTGGGTAAAATTATGGGTAAACCTGCCTAATAATTTTATGCAGTTGCTTTTAAATACAATATAAATGTTGTGGGTTTTTCTTCAGTTGTGTTTTCTTGCTGAAAAGAGAAATAGATTTTTCTGTGAACAGTGAAACTACAAATAAAAATTAAAGTTGTTTAGATTGTTCGTCCGTTGCTCCTAAATTGATTTTCTGCAGTTGCAGTGTTTAAAACCCCCAATATTATCTGAAGAGAGTCATGTAGTGTGGTTACATTAGAAAATGGTTTATGTTTTTGTAGCTATCACAGAGAAATGTTGAACAAAATGTTATAATCACATCATGTGACTGCAGGAATGGCTGGGTGCTAATATGTGGCACAGACTTTTATAGAGTTCCTGAAACAATAACCGGCCCATATACAGTACACGGATATAAGGACCTTTGCTGTCATCTCACCATAGCTGTATTTATACTGTTACAGCACAATTCTACATACTGTATGTTGACATCAAATTGTGTTTCTCTGATTTTTGGTGAGGAAAAAGTAGCATAATTTTTAATTTAAGCATTTGAAGAATTTATCTGCCTTAATTAGTATGTACAGATAATATCAACACTGCTTCTTCAGAATACTTCTTACTATGCAAAGTAATCAGTGGTGGTGATTGATTCAGAGTGATTTGGTCACTGAATGTTGGTGGAATGAGAATGTGCAGTGATGGAAATAGTACTCTTTTATTTAAGTAAATTACTACAATGTAACAATATTTTTTTAAAAATAAAAGTTGTGCATTTAAAATTCTACTTCAACAAAAAAGTATTGCTGGCAAAAATGTATTGTAAAGTATCCAAATCAAAAATACAGATTTTGTTTTGCAGAAGTGTGTTAAATTATGGGCCCTTAAGGTCCTGAAGATAATTTTTTTTATGTGCACAAGATATTTTGCACAAATGAATTATTGCTTTGTAAAAGAAAATCAACTTCTTGTTTGTTTTTTTTGCCCAGGACTTATCCTTGTTGTAGGGCATGTTTACAATTTCATCAATGGTATTGTTCCTTTTGTATGTAAAATCAAACCTGTAACTATTGTTGTCAGATAAATGTAGAGGAGGAAAAAAGTGCAATATTTCTGTAGTGGAGTATGTGTAGAGTACAATAAACTGGAAATACTCAAGTACAAGTTAACTATGCACAGTTAAATTTCCCCAAATGTGAATACTCAAGAGGTGCTCATTTAAATACTGTACAGTACTTTAGGAAAACGTACTTTGAGTGACTATACAGCAGTGGTGGAAAGGAACAGTTTAAGTACAAGTAGTTAAATTTAGCCTACCTTCAAAACTACAGCCTCCAGAATGATCATACATTTCAACCAGTTATTTGAAAACTATGAAGAAAACCTGAACATTATGTAGGGAACATTTATTACAGGACTGTTGAACACTGGTATGGGTAAAGTGCCGAGCATTTCCAGCGGAACCAGTATTTTACTTTGAAAGAGGTGACCGGAAGTTTTCCTGGTAGTGTCCGGCTCTAAACCTCCAACCTGGGTTCACATCAGCCACCGCTTTCGCAACACACGAGCGGCAATGGCATCGGTAACATGGCTAAATACGGGCTCAGATTGCAGGTCAGGTGGGTGACGACAGGGAACGAGGTTTAGACCGAACGTTAGCTTGCTAGTTACGAGAAAGAGGAACATAAATCCCGGGGCTCGAAAGTTAGTTAACCGTGTGACTGCAGCCCGCAGGGAAGTTTCGTTTCTCTGTGAACTTTTCTCCAATGTTTGTTCCTGAAAACGCCGACTGTTGTTGATGAGAGGAAGCGGACACGACACTCCTAGTTACTGCGGTCGACTGCGCAGGAAGTTTTTAATCCGCTTGTTGTTGTTGCTCGGTCCGAACATCTGACGCACCGACTGAAGGACGGGCGGCACCGGGACATGGCAGTTCAGTCTGCCGCCTTGTATCGCTGTTAACAGCCTCCATGGGTTGATCCCCCCACTGTCTGAAGATGATCGGGTCACCGGACCTGCTGGCCTTCGCCGGCGCTGAGTGGTTAGGTGACGGGGAAGAAGACCGGGAGCCTCGGGGTCTACCTGAAGAGCTGTCCGTGCCCCTGCTGCCTCTCTCCCATCGCTGGACCACTTCTGCCCAGTTTCACAGAGACTTCATACTGGTGGCTGAATTCTCAGAGCAGGTGTGTTTTTAATTTGGACAAACACTTGTACAGTACAAGTACAAGTTTCACAGTAAAGTTTTGTTTTCATTTTTAATATTTTTGTCATTGTTGCTGTTATTTGTGAAATCTGAAACATGGAAAATTCACAAAAAAGCTAATAACATCCTGCCACTCTGTGAGTAAATTGTAAGTTTTCTGCTTCTTTCCAGACTTTATTGTAATATTTAGATTGTACTGCATCTCTTCAGTCCTGTGCTGTGTTTCCAGGTGGGTCCACAGCCTGTGCTGACAATACCAGATGACCCCAAAGTCATCGGCTCCTTTGACCTCAACCACTTCTCTGTTCGCATTATGTCTGTGGACTACCAGGCTTCTGGCCCAGGTTACAGCCTTCCTGCCTCTCCCATCCTTCCTGACTCCCCCAGCCGTCCTGCCTCCCCCGGTCCCCGGCTCAACTTCAGCGAGGACTCCAAAGTGATCCTGGGAGATTCAGCACAGGATGCTTTTGCGTACGTTCACCACCTGACCCTCTATGATCTGGCGGCTCGGGGTATGGTGCGTCCTTTCTGCATGGCCTATGTGTGTTCGGACCAGGCGAAGCTGATGGAGAACTTCTCTGAGCTGTCTGCGAGCTTCTCTCAGGCATCTGAGAGCCTCAAGACGGGAAACAGACAGGCATTTTCTACAGAGCTACAGAGAAAACTACAAAAACTGAAGTACGTTCTGGATATACAAGGATGTGACCATACCAAAAACGCATGGTATAATATTGCCACAGTAAAAAATTAAGGATTTTATTTTTATAAAAATCTTCTTTTTGTCCTGCCAACTCTCAAATGTTTATATTGACCAACGGTCCACTCACTCATCTGATTTCACTTGGAAAGACTAAACCTCATCAACGAACTGGGTAGGTGTGTACAGACTAGGGCTGCAACCAAATTTAATGCCTTCTCTCTGACTTTCAGGTACACACGGTTGAATTTACTACAGGAAACAGAACATCTGAGGATGGCAAATGGGCTCACAGAAGTTGAAGAAAAAGCCAGAGAGCTTGAAGCTGTAGAGTGTTCAATCTCAACCCACAGAGATCTCCTTCATCAGGTCACATCCTATCCAAACAGGAAGCTCAAACAACCCGACTTCCTGCCCTACGACCTAGCCGAGCCCTTCACTGATGCGACTGTGTTGCCCCCTGAGCCCTGTCCCTCCACCCCCACCTCCTACCACTCAGAGCACCACCTCAAGCCTCTGCAGGAGCTTTGCAATCCCTACTTCTTCACCTTAATGAAGGAGCAGCTTGCAGACACAGAGCATCGTCTGCGTGGTGACAGGAGTGTACTGCGAACTGCTCGTATTGTACATTCGCTGTCCAGGAGGCTCATGTTCACCAACTTCCTGTTTGAGCTGTGGAGTCCTGAGAACGAAGAGGAGGAGGAGGAGGAGAGAAAGAGCGCTGAGGCAGAGCTACAGAGGTCGACAAGGGGTATGAGTGCTGTCGAGATGTTTCAGTCAGAACCAATGAGCCTGGAGTCGTTCTGCTCTTGTGTGGAGGAGATCCCCATCAAACTGGAGGCAGGAGAGGTTGCGACAGTGGCCTCTGACCCCAGTGTTGCCGTGGAGATGACAGGAAGCGTGAGCAGCGGCGACAGCATTGAAGTGCTTGGGACTGAGAAGTCTTACTGGAACCAGCAAGTCATTGCTGGATCTGACAGCAGAGGTACATCAAGTGACTGTTAATGGTTGAAATCATTTATCAAGCCACTATACTAAACAGTCCCTACTGTAGCTTCAGCTTTTCAGATCAGCTGCTTTACTTTGTTTTATAGCAGT